TATATATATATAAGATTCCCTCCCAGTCTTCTCTTCTCCAGACTAAACAGCCCCAGGTCTCTCAGCCTTTCCTCATAAGGCAAGTGTTCCAGCCCCTTAATCATATCGTAGCTCTCTGTTGGACTCTTAGATAAATCCCTGTCCCTCCCTGCATCCAGAACTGGATGCAGTTTTTCTGCAGCCTTGTTTACCTGCTGGCGTTGCCACCTTCCTGTGCTCAGAGACCTGGTTTTACTCCTCTGCTCACCTGCTGTCCTGGTGAGAAATGGCTGTTAACAGGCCTGTCAGATCAAACTGTAAAGAAACTGGACAGAAAACTTCGAAACAGACTTGGAAATGCGTGAATGCTTCCTGGACAGCCATATTAAAGAAAGTTACTCCTCGTTTAGGAGGAGATTCAGCTTGGAGGAGTTTTTGTTTGAGGCTTTTTTTCTTTCGTTTTTTTTAATCTCACACTGCAATTATGAGGTGAGGGGTGTGATAGTGATAGGGGTTGCCAGTTAAAAATACGTCACTCTGCTCGGGTGCCTGCATTAACTGTGGGGTAACAGAAGTTAAGCTTTGCTTAATCAATATTCTGAGGGCAACAGAAAACATCTGACAAAAAGGTTTGGTCCAAATACAGCTGTGACTGTTGCTGACTGTAAAGCTGTGCTTTTTTATATCTTTATGTAAGTTTATGGTGGCTTTTGGTAGGAGAGGAGGTTTTGCAAAAAAGGTGGTCTTTCTTTAGAGTCTGTTCAGGATAGGTTTGTTATAAGGCACCCCTTGTGTTGTGCTAAACAAGGATTTTTTTATAACAATATGCTTCGCCATCACACCTTGATCATCCAGAAAGAAAAGCTGGATATTCTAAATGTAGATACTGCATTTTGTTTCCCTGTTTTAACAATGGAGTTTCAAAAAGGAAAAATAGTGTAAGTAAATATATACGTAGCGTATTTTTTTTTCCTTTCAGTTCGTATCCGTGGGAAAATGCTATGAGAATTGCAAACAGGCTTTTAGAGGGGTATTTTTTCAACTGGTCAGTGTGTGACCCCTGTGTTAACAGTGAGTCACGCTGCAAGTCAAGAGTTCACTGTTTTTTTGTCTTTCCCACTGCAATTAAGTAGCTTCCACGTGCACACCCAAGTAAAATTGGGGAAAACTTTATGGTTGATAAAGAAATCTTGATAATATTGTTGCAGGATCAGTCAGTTGATAGGGTATTCACTGCCAAATACCAAACAATACAGAAATTCAAGAAGGCTTCTAATTGATACAGACAGTCCAGGTACAATGAGCCAGCTGGGCTCACAGAAGGTCAAAGAAATGGGTGAAAGCAAGAGAGAACTTGCCCATTTTAGCTATACGTATAAAATCACATTTTTATGTCCTTAGTACTGCCACTTGTGACGTGTTTTAGGGATGAATTAAAGCTTTAAAGATTATTTATAATTGGATATAGTGGTTCCCCCCTTTTTTCCTGTTTCCTTTTCCTCTTGCCCTTCCCTGCAGTTTCAAGTCTTTCTTTCACCTTACACATCTCCCTGAGTTTTGGCAGTGTGAAGACTCGGACTGGTTAACCTCTGCTTCGTGTCAGTTTTGCTTTCCACTTCTTCTGCTTTAGTTGCAGTGTTTCAGGGCAGCATGTCAGTCCAAAGCTATTTGTATATATTAACAAGCATTTCTGCTAACATTACTGAGACCAAAATTAACATAACTTTATGCTAGATTAGCATTATGCTAAGTAAAGGCAACCCTTTGCCCCATTTTCTTTTTTAAACTCCAGAATCTCTTCTATATCCAAACAACCATATCATGTTACAACACGTGGTTAGGCTTAGTGTTTTTTAGTGGACCTCACAAAATTATACCACTTAATTGCATTTGGACCACCTCTGGCTGCTGTATAACTGTAAGTGTAGAAGCACTGTATTGAAACAAGGTCTGGGTAAAAAATTCTTTGGCTTGGAAAATGTAACCTCAAGCAATGTAAGTAAATCACCAGGCTCATACCTTTATCACTGGACTTGTGTTTTACTTCACAGTGGGAGTCTAACCCAGAAAAGATAGTGGAAAGTGTTATACTAGACAGTATTTTACATATCTAATTCATGTTTTGTTTTTTTTCCCAGCTTTTTAGAAAGAATTGACAGTGTCAGCATGGATGACTACACACCCACAGATCAGGTTAGTGTAACTAATGGGGCAAGGTCTGAACCAAGACACCCATTTGTATGAATTCTATATGTAATTTATTTTAATCCAAGCAGCAGCTGAAATAGGGCATACATACCACATAATGTCAAAATACAATCTAGCAGTTTAAGTAATAGATATTAAAAAGAGGATTTTTGGTGGTGCAGTCTTGTCTTTTACCGTTCTTGTATGTTTGTTGGCGATTCCTGTAATGTCTGTTATTTCTTCTCGAGTTCCACTCAGTGCCCCACAAACAAAGTGAAGGGAACAGAAAACATAAACAAAAAAGTCTAAGGTTTCTTTCACCAGCTTTCACTGCACAGAAGCAGTGTTTTATTTCAATGATGGAAGTGATGAAAACCCAGAGGGAGGCTTCCTGTGTTCATCAGACAGGTCCTTCAGAGGCAGAAGCCAGCAGTGTCAAATTCAGGCGAGAGCACCACCAGTTCTCTGCAGGCATGCAGACACCTTCATTCCAGCATGTCCCCATCTCCTGTGGGCAGAACAGTTTCTCTTTCAGCCTTAATTGCGAGACAGTACACTTTTTTTTTTTTTTTCCCAGATAATTGTGAGGCACTTTGATCAGTGCCAGATCCTGCTCTTGGGCCACAACAGCCCCATGCAATGCTACAGGCTTGGGGAAGAGTGGCTGGAAAGCTGCCTGACAGAAAAAGACCTGAGGTGCTGCTGCATGTGAGCCACCAGTTTGCCCAGGTGGCCAAGAAGGCCAATAGCATCCTGGCTTGTATCAGAAATAGTGTGGCTAGCAGGACTAGGGAAGTGATTATCCCCCTGTACTCAGCATTGGTGAGGCTACACCTTGAATACTGTGTTCAGTCTTGGGCCCCTCACTATGAGAAGGAGATTGAGATGCTGGAATGAGTCCAGAGAAGGGCAACAAAGCTGTTTAAGGGTCTGGAGCTCAAGTCTTTTGAGGAGCAGCTGAGGGAACTAGGGTTGTTTAGTCTTGAGAAGAGTAGGCTGAGGGGAGACCTCATTGCTTTCACCCTTACCCTGAGGTTGTAGTGTTGTGTGGGTTGGTCTCTTCTCCCTAGTAACAACCTACAGGACTAAAAAGGTCTGAAGTTATTCCAAAGGAGGTTTAAATTGAATGTTAGGAAAAATTTATTCACTGAAGGAGCGGTCAAGCGTTGGAACAGGCTGCCCAAGGAAGTGGTGGAGCCAGCATTCCTGGAGGTATTAAAAAAATGTGTAGATGCAGCATATTAAGACATGGTTTAGTTGGCATGGTGGTATTGGATTGACAATTGGATAGAGTGCTCTAATGACAGACACATTCAGGAAGGTTAAGGCTGAAGTGGTGCAGCCTTGAAATAAGAAAGGGCTTCACCATAGTGCACTTCTTTGACTGTCTTCCCTGAGCTCAGGCTGTGTGGTTTCCTTGGGCAGGTTGTCCCTTCAGCAAACTTATTCTGAGGTCATTATTTTTCAGGACTGGTATCCCACTGTGATCTGGTAGTCTCAGCCCAGATTGTGGGCCACAACATGAAGTGCAAGTAGAGGTGGCATAAGAGAATCCCTGCACTGGGTAGTTCAGTCTAACCATCTAAGATGTAGGACAGGTGGATGCCCTTTAAAAAGTACAATTGCCAGATCTCATTGTGCAATCAGGGACTGAAAATCAGAGAAATGAAGAAACCTGCCAGAGATCACACAAGGAAGTATGCAGAGCAAGGCCTGTCTCTTCAGACCTAGCTCAGGTCTATAAAAGCAAGCCTGTCCAATTACTGTGACCATATCCTGAAATAGAAGGCAGTAAAAAGTAGTACGTGTTGTGTTATAAGGTGAAACTTGTATAGTAAACTCAATAGAGGATCAATTCTTAAAGACCTTAAGACATTTTCAGACCAAAGCAGTATCACTGAGATTTACTCCATCTAGACCTGGGGTGCACCAGGCACAGCATTGCCAGCTGGTCAAGGGAGGTGATTGTCCCACTCTGCTCTGCACGGATGCAGCCTCACCTTGAGTACTGTGTGCAGTTTTGGGCACCACAATATAAAAAGGACATCAAGCTATTGGAGAGTGTCCAAAGGAGAGCCATGAGGATGGTGAAGTATCTGGATGGAATGACTTATGAGAAGTGGCTGAGGTCACTTGGATTATTCAGCTTGGAGAAGAGGAGACTGAGGGGTGTCCTCATTGCAGTCTATGGCTTCACCTAGAGGGTAGTTGAGCACTGGAACAAGCTCCCCAGATAAGTGGTCACAGCAGCAAGCCTGTCTGAGTTCAAGAACTGTTTGGATGATGCTCTGAGGCACATGGTGTGATTCTTGGGGTGCCCTACACAGGGACAGGAGTTGGACTGGATGATCCTGATGGGTCCCTTCCAACTCAGCATGTTCTATGATTCTATGACCTCATGGTCTGATTTTAGCATTGATACCACTTGGCTGGAGAGAAAAATCAATGAAGCAAAGCCTCGTTTTTGCTTTAATTATGTATGTTAGTGTTGACCTGTTTGTTCCTGGGAGGCCTTTCTTTACCTGGAGCAGTAATTCATCATCTAGAAACCTTTCCTGATACTTCTTTTGGGAAGAAGTGTCATGTGCCTCAAAAAGATCAGAAGAGGTCTTTGGTATTTGGCAGCTGGAAAACTTTTGCACTAAAGGAATGATTCTCTTTTGCTTTTGGGTTTCCATCCTGTTATGCTATATCAGTTGTCCTCCTGAATTAACTGATAAAAAATAACTACTTCCCTTTTTTTCCCCTTGTCTTCTTTTCTTTTTTTTTTTTTTTCAGCATCCCAAAATAATGACTGTCAGAGAGTGACAGCAAATGACAGTAATATATAAAGTAACTGAAATAATGAAAGAAGTGGCATTCAGCTGAGTTCATGTGGCTGTCAAAGGAGCTGAGGTTTGCCAGCTAGCAGAGTCCTTTAAGCAGTAGATGGTAGTGTAGGGGGAAAAGCCAACCTGTGCTTGGACTCTGCAGTGCCAACTGCCTCCTGCCCTCCCTGCTTCCACAGCCGCTGCGTGGTATGGAGAGCAGCCCTTCCCTTGCCCCAGGAAGGGAGCACTCCCTGTGCAAGCAGCCGTGCCCAGAGGTGGCAGTGGGGGTTCCTCCTCATCAGGCAGCCTGCAGCTTTCTCCAGCCTCCAGTTTTGTTGTGTACCCACTGCCCAAGCAGCATTGCTGGATATTCAAGGTTAAAAATGCTGCTGGTGATGATGATGGCCCACGGTGAGCTAGTTGCCTGAGGTACACATCATAAATTGCTTCTGCCTGCTTCTTCTGAGGATCTAGGAAAATATTAATTTTTTAATTATTAAAAGAATGTTATTTAAGCCATAAGGTATTGCTGGTTTGAAGAATAAGAAAGAAATGCCAGGTTTATGTACAACCTAAATTCTGTTCCCCTGTGCTCTGTAATAGAGCTTTAATTACTCAGTCACCAGCTATTATTTCGATAGGATGCCTGTCTCATTCAGTACAAAAGAGGGCAGAATTAAGGTTACCTAGGCAACTGTAAATCTAGAGTTTTCTAACATTTGAATACTTGACTTTATAACAGGAATAACATATTTTTCTTAGTTTTATGTAACTTCAGAATTCATTATCCACATCACACACAAAGTTATACGACCCTTGTATGAAAGACAGGTTTCCGTATGCACTAAGAAGAACATGCACAGGGTCTCTTGCTTTCCAGGTGTCCACAAGTCACATGTAGAGATGATGTTTGTGTGTATCTACTATGTCAGTATGGACAAATAAATGTTTACCAACAAGTTTGACTGAACTTTAATTAAATTGAACTTCTAAGACTTGGATGGAAAACAGTATTCCATGCTTTTAAAAACAAAATGAGGTTAGGGGGAAAAAACCAAAAAAACAACCCAAACCTTGCTAATCAGCTTCTATATTCTCATTTCCAGGACCTATTAAGATGCAGAGTGTTGACATCAGGGATTTTTGAAACAAGATTTCAAGTAGATAAAGTCAATTTCCAGTAAGTCTGTTAGTAATAATTTGAGTATCATACTGATTTTTAACAGCTGAGTTCAGATGTCTGTGCACATGTATGCTTTGTATAGTTGGTTTAGGGTGGGAGCTGGCTGGGTTTTTTTTATTGGTTTGGTTTTTTAGCTCTCTTTCCATAGGTCTTAGTAAAATTGTCTTAGACTTTGGTATTAGCTACGTGTATTAGTGATGCTCTATTGTGGATTTGTCAGTGGCTGTTTTTACTAGTTCGTTGGTATAAAACTCATAGAATACTTTTGGGGATAAGATCTCACAGAAGTCAGTGGGAATCCTGCCACGAGTCAGACTTTGTACAGTGGGACGAGAAGAGTAAAATGTCTCCCTTCTTGTGGAGGACTGCAAGCTCTGTGTCTGTCATACGCTGTCTCTGTAAAACACCTGCTGCTGGGCTGCCTCCTCTCAGGCTGCCTCCTCTCTTACTTCTTGCCCAGAAAAGTGGCAGCACTGATGGGGCAGAGCTGCCCCTTTGTTCTCCTCCTTACAGAGGTGCCCTCTCCCCACCACTCTTCAAAATATGCCAAAACCTGTCCTTGTTTATAGCACAGGAGGCCCAACCTTATACACCACATGTTTCTGTGGTCTGAAAAGACCAAGACTTGTCCTGGAAAACAGTATATTTCTTATTTTATGGGTTCAGCAGCCTTCTCCTGGCAGAGTGGGGCAGGTGGAGCTGTTCAGCTCTCTGCCATGCAGTGCCAGCATCAACAGAGCTCTCTGCCCTTCAGGCAGTACTTTAGTGCCACTGCCCTTGGGGCTGTCAGGTTTTAAACTGAACCTTTGTGCTGCATGCTTCTTGTGACTTTCCTAGTGCACATAAGTGATATAACATCCTATGGCTTTTTAACAGCATGTTTGATGTAGGTGGCCAGAGGGATGAGAGAAGAAAATGGATCCAATGCTTTAATGGTAAGTAAAAATACTCCACTGTTTGATTTTGTACTTACTCTCTGAGTTCTGAGCAGCTAAGTATTCATATTAACACGTAGTGTGTTACTAATAGAGGAGTCCAATCTTTGGGTATTTTTGGCAGTTTTGGGAGCAAAGGCAGTGTTACCCCGAGGAGCATGTGCTGGGATAACGGAGGTGTTCTTTTCTCTCCCCTTCCTTTTGTGTGCTCTGCCCAGATGTCACGGCTATCATCTTTGTTGTGGCTTGCAGCAGCTACAACATGGTAATAAGGGAAGATAACAACACAAACAGACTACGGGAATCTCTGGACCTTTTCAAAAGCATCTGGAATAACAGGTAGAACATAACCTGCTTTCCCACCCACCCTCCCCAGTTTTGCTGCAGTTCAGCTCCTTACAAAACAGGACTAAAGGGCAGGGGAGACCCTTTCCAGGTCTCACTGTGCTGCTCAGCCAAGGCTGAGAGCATCCTTCAGGTGACATTTCATCTCCTCCTGCCAGGCAGCAGCAGGAGCAGCTGGATGTTGGCTTTGCATCCAACTCACCACCTGGTGCTGCGCTCCCTACCTGCACAGGCAGCCACTCTCCTTAGACCTGTCTCCCAGAGTGCACAGTTCCTCTGCCTTCTGGGATGATATTCCAGACCCAATCTAATTGTAACTGCCATTAAATCACCATTCTGCCACAGCACATGTAAACTGCAGATACGTAACCAAACAGCAATCTCAGTATGTTCCCAGTAGAAAATCAGTAAACACAATACACCAAGTAAGGTAATGAAAATTTTCCAGCACGTACATGTGAGGATGCCCCACACTGTGAGGTGACTGAAGATAAAGTGAGGAAAAACATTGAGTGCAAGTCCCAAAGGCACATTATCACAGGCTAGGTACTAACTGGGGAGGAAGAGAAAATCTTTTAATTCTTCGGGTGTCATACAGGCTGCCCTAGAAGACAGGGTATCTGTGTGGGTGAACTATTAGTTAAGACAGAGCAGTCTGAGGGAAGGCGGCTTTCCAGCCTTTTCCTCTTGCTTCAGCAGAACCAAACAAAGAAGACAAGAACGGCCGGTTTCGGACTTCAATGCTTTTAAGAAATGTCATTATTTTCCCAACTCAATATCAAAAGGATAATTTAGAAAACAATATTTGAAGACTGCTCCCTTCAGCAGTGTCTACTGCAGTTGTTATAAATGTGTTTACAGATTCTTTGAATATACCCACCGGCACAGGTGCAACCCATTCAAAACAGTAATTCAGGTAATTTTTTTTCCTGTTGAAGCATATTCCACACTACTTCACTCTCTGTCCACACAGGGATAGCCAGTACGTTTTCTGTTGAAGTGATCTGTTTTCCTTGAGTAACAAGAAACACTTGGTTTGTTTTTGACAGGTGGTTACGGACCATTTCTATCATTTTGTTCTTGAATAAACAGGACATGCTGGCCGAAAAAGTCTTGGCAGGGAAATCAAAAATCGAAGATTACTTTCCTGAATATGCGCATTACACTGTACCTGAGGATGGTAAGGTTTTTTTCCCCATGCAGGGATGGCACCTGCTGGCATAGCCTAGCCCATAGTTCCTCTCTCTGTCTCTCACACATATAGACAAATTCACAAGCACACCCCATTCCTTAACACATGCTGTTGGTCAGGTAAAGAGCATGAGAGCAGCACATAGTGCAGAGGTGCCCCAGCACAGGCAGCGTTTAAAGGGGCCCTGGCTGCCAGTGTGGTTGGGGGGACAGTGGGGGGCTGGCTCCAGAGCAACCTGCTTTCCCCTGTTCAGAGCAGCCCACAGTCCCAGGAAAGCAAAGCTGCCAGTCATGTCTTTCCCCCCTACCAGATGCTTCTGCCTGGGCCTCTGGCAGTGCTGAACTGTGGTAGAGATTAGTTAGATTTATTTTGTGGCCATTCTGCATCCTCCAACACTGTAAACTTTAGCCTTTGCAAACACTGATGGGAAGCCCAGCAGACCAGCAGGCTAACTTTTAAAAGGGGAAAACCACATCAATAAATACAAAGAGAGCTGTGATGATGGAGCAATTAACATGGGGTTGGTTTCCTAGCATTTCAGGAGGTACAATGATTCCTCCACTGCCAGAACATTCTGCCTAAGTAAACTCTATTATTATGCCAGTTATATACCAGACTGAAGGCTTCCAAATATCTCAGGTCTGTGTCTAGCAAAAGTAATAAAACATGCTATTTCTGGCTGCCAGCCTCTGCCTTACCCAAGTGATGCCCCTGGCACAGTTCTTGGAGCCACCTGTCAGAAAAGGCTTTCCATCTCCACTAACCATCAACAGCAGCCTAAACTATAAAAGTGAAGATGGTAATAAGCTGTTTTCAGCTTTCCATCAGGTCTGAATTCTGAATTTCAGGAGTGTGATGATGAGTTTCAAGTGGCAACAATAAATAAACTGACCTAAAATATGAGTTAATCTGGCACCAGTTTTATAATGCTAAGGCTCTCTGAAGAAATCTTCCGTCACTGTCACCCAAATTTCCCTCTCCCAGACACCACATAGATACAGAGTTTGGGCAAATTTGCAACATTTTTTTATAGTAGGCCAGTTATGAGAATAAAGTAGCTTTTGATGTTTTGATGATCAGGATTTCACAGTGGATATCCAGAGTGATCTGGAATGTTCACACATGAAGCAGCTCTCTATTTTTAACCTGTAGTTGTTAATTTGTTCTTCAGCTGACATTATAGAAGAACAGCAGCACTGAACTCTTGAGATGCTGGTGATAGTGCTGCTGCTCAATGTTTACCCCTAATGCTACAGATAGGAGTAAAAAATTAGTTTCCATGTTCTCATAAATTCTGCCCTTTACCATATTATGTTTATAAGCGGATTATTTGGTATCTTAGATGAGGAGAAATCACACTAAAGAGAAATTAATAGGTTATCTCTCCACTGTATTGTTTTTTACACTTACAGTAAATATAGTTGTTACATGGCCTAGATAGAGATTACTTCACCTGCCAACAAGCAGTTGGCACCCACCAGTGAGTCTCCTGCTCAACAAGAGTTTAATCTAAGGCCCCTTGATGGGCAGTGTATGTAAGTATTCTTCTGATTGGGGGCTTGGAAATAAAATATAAACATGTATTTATATCTATGTCTATATTTGTGTGTATATATATATGTAAAGACCTTTTGATGTTACCTTTTTTTTTAAGTGTAATCTTGAATTTACATTTTTCAAACCCAAACTCCTGCCTGATAAGCTTTATTCAGAGGTGTTGTTCTGCTGCAGAAGCTGAACGGCTCAGCTGCTTTTGCTAGTCATATTTTCTGATAAAAGTAAAATCCTAACTCCCACTTGTTTTATATCTATGTGAACAAACTTGTGTATGTGACTAAGCCTCTTTGTGGTAAGACCAATGATATTGTTTCAACAATTTTAGCAATTTTCAGGTCCCTAAAAGATGTTAAACGCATAAAACCTTATTTCAGATTTTATAGTACCTTTCTATTTTAGAATTGCCTATCAGGAATCTCTCATGAATATTTAATATTCTAACTTAATAAAAGTCCCTCTGTATCAAAGGACTACTTCCTCCTTGTTAAATCTTTTTAGCATGAACAGTAGATGACTGTTTGCTTTTCATGTTTCTGATGTCATTTATTTTTAATTGAACAGCAACACCAGATGCAGGAGAAGACCCCAAAGTCACAAGAGCCAAGTTCTTCATCCGGGATGAGTTTTTAGTGAGTAATTTTGATCTTATGTGTGATTCTATCATAGAAAATACTGGCAGATGGCAGAGTTTATTTAGGGAAAACTGATGGGGTTTTGCAGAAAGCTAGAAGGAGAGGAGAATGCCTGGTAATTCCCTAATTCTCTTCAGCCACCCATCTTGCAGAATCTTCCCCAGTGCTTGCACATTTTCATGCCCATAAAGTCACCTGCCCTGCAAAGTACCACACAGCAAGTAAATGCAAGAGCTGAAAACAGTCAATGTGCCTACCTGTTTGATTCAGTGTACTGTGTGGTTGCTGGCAGCTCTCTCTCTCTCTGCTCAAGCAGGGGATGCCAGGCACTGTTGACTATGCCAATCAGCTAGGTGTTCTGTGCTTGTCTACCTGCAAGATGCTACTGGCTGTTGCCTTGGATGTTTATTCTGTGTATTGGCCCAGTCTATGTATAAGCAAATAGGCTTCTTTTTGGGTGTTTTTTTTAATCCTGCATTGCCCCAGGAGCTTTGGCAGTGGTCAGCTGGCAAGAGGGTATGAACAAAAAAGCAGATTTTGTCCTTAAATAAGATTTCTATTGTGCCAGTTAGGAGATTTGCCTCCCCCTAGGACTGGTGTCATGGCCCTACTTGAGGAATCATAGTTACCTTGCCTGGTTACAGTTACTCTTATAATGAAAATTTTCTCCAAAGCTGGAACTGAAGAGGTGTTGTATTTTGCAGATACAAGCAGGTATCAGGCACATGATCACAGCCCAGTTCTGCTATCAGAAGCAGGGGCTTCAGGCAGTATCACCTTACAGCTTCACTCATATCAAGTTGTTGCCACAGTTCCCATGAGAAGCAAAGCTCTGCCCTCTTTGCGTCTTGCCCTAATGAAGGAAACTGTGTGGGGGCTGTTCAAGAGAACAAATCTAATTATTATTGGAATTAAGATTTTTAAAGTCATTATGCATTTACAAGTATTGGTAGTATTTACAGCTGTTGGTGCAACAAGGAAGAAAGAAGCAATTAACTGGTTTTTAATTTGAGGATTTCCATTCACCACCTTAGCCTTCTGGCTTACGAAGACAAACATCAGAGCACACTGTATTCACACAAGCAGTACCCAAAAAAAAGGCCCACTTAGCATCTCCTCCATAAAAGCAATGTTCATGTGTCTCTCTCCTGGATTTGTGCTTGATTTGTGCTTTGGTTTCTCATAAAGAAACAGAGGGACATAGTCTTTTGAACAGTTGCTTTAAACTTTTGATTGGTTTAAAATTAAAGCAATGAGTTTCTGCTCCCATAAATGGCTTGAATGGCTACATGTGCCCCAGGTGATGGAGGCCATGCATGTGGAGGGGGTGAGGTGGGCAAAGACTGAGTAGAAGCAGTCTCTTCCAGCTCTGTGGGGTCAGGCACAAAAGGGTGAGGTTTTAGAGCAGGGGGGACAAAGGCAACAGGGTAAATAAGCTCAGCATGCAGACTGGGGAGGGGTCTGATGTCTTTAGCCAGCTGCAAAGAAAAAGTGTGTATTTTCTACCCACTGCATACTTGGCTCTGCTTTGTTTCTTTCCAATTCTATTAATTTATGTCCTTTTCTTTGTCCCTTTCCCTAATGTTTTCAGACACAATTCAGAGAAATCTGCTTTTATTAATTTGTAAGCTTTATTGCAATTTTTAAATAATGGTAGTGGGTCTGCATGAGGCATGGGTAAGTGTGAAAATCACCATCATGGCTGAGCACCCCTTAAAACTCTGCCTGGCTGCAGGCACTGGTACTGGGAAATTTAAAGCATATAATTCCAAGAATTTTAGAAGGAGGTTAAGTATAAAGACATTTCCAACAACTACTGTTATATGGTAGTATATGAGTATTAGGAAGGCAAAATACATCAGCTCCTGATTTCAGGACTGGAGTGGGGGCCTGTGGCCTCTGGGGGCTTGGGCAGCCAGCCTGGCTGCTTAGCACCCTTCTTAATGGAGGGAGTGGTGGGTGAGGACTGGCAGGATTTATCATGGAGGAAATTCTTCTTCCTTGGGCTCAGGCACATCCTTTCTACTCCCAAGCAGGGAGCGTGCTGGTGCACTCCTTGTTGAGGCTGCTCCTCTGCCCCGTTTTGGTGTTTTGTACAGTGTTTTGTACACAAGGCTCTCCAGCTGCTGCTGTTTTTTCTTCATACATCCCCAGTGTACAAGTAACCTCTGTTAAAACAGTGGCACATCCTCTCTGGTTCATGCTGGTTTTTAAGAAATCTGAATTGGGGAGGGGAAGGAGCTGCTGCTCAGATGCACAGACGAGACTCCCTCAAATCATGCATTGGCTTCTCACTGGAAGCTGTTACCCTGACCCCAAAGTATAGGGACACTGGTGTTAAATATTCCCATGTGTGTTACGGGAAAGTAAATATTCTTTCATTGCTGTCCCAGGGGATGGGTTTTTTCCCTCCTCTGAGCTGATGCTTAGTAACACACTGTTATTCAAAATGAGTTGTGAGTAGGGGTGAAAAAATTGCATTTCTCTTAGAATGTGAGAATTACAGATTTAAAAAAAAAAAGGCGCCACACCCCAGACCCTAACATTCTGAAAATACATCTTTTGACAGGCTTTGTATGTAACCAGATGTCAGCAGAACATTGTAGGCCACTTGCTAGTATAGGCATTAGTGGACTCAGTGCAAAACAACCACCAGTGAACACTTGGGCTAAAGAACACCTATTTCACCAAAACACAAGAAAAAGATTGACAGCCTCAGGGACATGGTGTGAACGTTGTCGTTGTCCTGTTCTGGGACAGGAGTTGGACTTGGTGATCTAGGCTGTCCGAGGAGGTGGTTGAGCCACCATCCCTGGAGCCAAAGAAGACAGATGTGGTGTCAGGGGACAGGGTTTAGTGGTGGATGCTGCAGAGTTAGGGTAGTGGTTAGACTCGATCTTGAAGCTCTTTTCCAACCAGAAAGACACTGTGATACTGTTGGGTTGGGAGGTGCTGTGCTCCCTCTGCTTGCATCTGGGTGGCACTGAAGGCCTTGTCCCTCACTGACTGTTGCTAACATGTGACATTTAGTCCTAGGAAGAGCAAGTCAGAGCCTGATGCCCCTCCCGCATCCTTGCAGTGCTCAGCTGCAGGGGGCAGACCACAAAGAAACTTTGATGCCCTTGGCACCGCCTGCTGAGGCTGTGCTGCTCGAAGGGAGCACTCTGGAAGGGATGAGGGCAAGGTGGAAATAGCAGCTGGAGGCTGCAGGGATAGATGTAGGTCTCAAACAGGGCAGAGCAAAAGAGCCACAAGCCCCTGCAACAGGCCAGGGCTGAACTCCTCCTCCAGAGCTTGCAAGTGAAGAACAAACAAGTGCAGCAGCAGCTGTAAGGCAGGCTGGGCCATCTTTTGGGGGACCTTTTTTTTTTTTTTTTAATCCATTTAAGAACGAAGTAATATTTAGTAACTGTCCCCTTGCTGCATCTGAGCGGCAGCATTACAGCGTTATACCACTGTCACATAGAACAGATCTGCAGGGAAAAAAAAAAAAAAAAAAAGATCTAAAGCAACTACTGTATCAAAAAATAGAAACACTATTGCCATTTTTTTGCTATTTTAAAATATTTTACTCCTATCTTGAATGGCCATGCTCTGCTGTCCTTTCAGCCCTTGGGTTCCTAAGGGTCTTATTTCCTCCAGACAACAAAGATCTTCCCAAACCCTTCTGGGAGATAGTGCAGGTAGACAAATACAATTTGCATTTTAATTGAGTTTCAGCATCCTGCCACCATTGCAAGTAATTTGTAAAACTGTTGTTTGTTTGTTTCATTATTGTTTACTGTATTTCATGCTTAAAATATGGTCTGAACAACTTAGCTATCGAGTATGTTTTTGAATTAATGTTTTTCACAAGAGCAAGCCTTGAACTAGGTATTGAGGTTAGGTTAGTAAGAAAATAGTTTTGAGTCTACGTGTGGAACACCCCCTGTTTAGTTAAGTGTTTAATATATAACATTACCTAAGTTACCTGCAATTTCTTGTTCATGTCATTATGTACATTTTGGCTTATAAATGTCTATAGTCTTGTATATCTGTAGCTGCGGATACATAAAAGGTCAATTCGACATATAAAATCACTGTATTAAAATCATACAGTCTAGCCAGAGAGTGAGAAAATACTGTATTTTATTGTTAGCCAGTAAATAAAATTCAGAAATACAACAAAATTCAGAAAATATTTATACAAATTATTATCCCAAGAACTGGCTTTCATGACATTCCATTTGGATTCAAGATAATCTAGAATGGATTTCTATTTATCAGTCCTATAGTAATATGGAACAAAATTAAGCTTTAAAAAAATTTTAAGATCCCAGAGAATTTTAGCAAGATAACCATGGGTGAAGTGATGCTGAAGCTTAACTTAGCAACCTAAAAGGTGGTGCAGCGATAATTTAACTCTCTGTGGTCTGATGTTTGCAGGATTTGTGCATGTTTTGTTATTCTATGGGAACTTGACCACTCTAGTGATAATTCCACCATGTTCTGGTCTCACTAATGATACCAAGTCTTCAGCCAGGTTAAGGGGTGCTCTAAATGAAGGTAACTTCAGGGCCCTTCAGTTTCAAGATGCAGAAGCAGTTGGGTGTTGCTCTTTGCTGCTGCTACCTTCACACCTGGGAGGTTTCAGGTTTTGTGAAGCTGATAAAAAAAATACAAGAGTTCAAAAATTTGCCACAGGATGGCACAAAAAAAAGAGCAGAGATGATGATCCCCGTGATCAGCAGCTCAGCTGAGCTGCACAGTGATGTGCAAAGACCTGCTCATGCAAATGATGATGGCATCAGTGGCACTCACAAAGTAACAAAATACTGACCTCGTAACAGTATCTATAACCTTTGTTAATCTTCATTTCAAATCTGTGATTCATATATGACCACAGATCTTCCTTCTTTTTCATTGATTTTAATGCTCTAGATGGAGAACTTCCCAGGTTTCTTGGTACCCTGTAAGTCTATAGCTGTGAACCTTCTCGAGGCACAGCACCTGACCCTTTTTCCCATCTCCCCTCCCCTGTTTCCACAGAGGATAAGTACAGCGAGCGGAGATGGCAGGCACTACTGCTACCCACACTTTACGTGTGCAGTGGACACAGAAAACATCCGCAGAGTGTTCAACGACTGTCGGGACATCATTCAAAGGATGCATCTCCGCCAGTACGAACTCTTGTGAGGGGGATCACCGTGGAACCTGTGGTTTTAAATTCTTTGCTCCTTACTCTTTCTCTTGATACTACCCCACACAGGGTGGAAGAATATATTATAGAAATGTCAGCCTCCTCACCTTGTTTACTTTAATTATTTAACCTTAAAGCTGATTTGAAGCAAATTTGGGTTGTTTTTTTGTTTTTCCTTCATGCTTTTTGGGACTATTTTTGTGCTTTATTTTGACATGCCACTTCTTCATCATTCCACTAAGCCCTTTGGCTACCTCTGTATCCTTAGGTTTGGGGTTGTTTTTTTTTAAACTGAACATGACCTGCTACTTATTTTTCCAGCAGGTTAACATCAGTTCAAAATGGTATGTCAGCGGGATTACACTAAAGTCGTACCTATCCCTCTGTGTGGGTTTCCTTTTCAACATGACATTGAAGAGTACTTGATGGGTGAAAAAAAAAGATTAATGCACTTTGTATCAGGTTATTAAATACTGTTGAGGAAGTAGACACACAATGTAGCAGCACCACAATATTTATTACTCTGTCACAGTTTTTAGCATTTCTGAGTTGCAGGTCAACTGATAAAGTGACCTCCTCTTTTAAGCCGTTACTGGCATAGGAAGTAGAGTAGATAATGAGAGGAACAGTGAAGACAAAGCAATTTTTCTGGGGTTTTGGAGCTAAGTGTCTCTGCACACCTCAGGCCTTTGAATCACAGCTACTTTTCAGCCTGTTGCATCTAGGCAGAAAATTTACCACCCTCACTTACGTTATTTGTGCTGTCCACAAATGATCCTTTTAGTTCAGATCATTCTTGGACAACAGTCCTCTCCCTATATATATTTTTTTGTTTTTTTGTTTTACTGCTGGTTTATTATATTGTACAGACTGTAAAATGTAATATTATTTTGTACAACTTTATTGAAGAAAAATACTTGTAGAAGATCTTTGTGCCTTGATTATGGCTGTACCTGTAAAATGAGCTAAGATGTAAGTATGTTTTTGATTGCGCTGTACAGCTTGATGTCAACCTTACCTGCAGCAGTGACTGGAGGTAAGAACTTTATCTGTAGAGTTTAGGGATTTTTTTCTGGTTTATATAAAAATGCTCTTTAGTATAAAAAATATAAATTATGCAAATTAACCACTTACCTTTCCAAGTAAGGTATTACAGTCACCGGATGTTGCAGCAAACATGCCTTTCTCTTTTGAAGTCTCAGCTTTAAAACATTGGAATTCATTCAAGTGTCCAAATTGCAACCTGGTGTTGTTTTAATGGGAACCAAGGAATTTATTATTTTATTTTATTTTTTCCTTTATATTTAGAAAAAGATGTTTGGTAATTCTTTGGTCATTCATAGAACTTCACAATTGTACAGACCGATTGTGAATGTGTAAAGCACCATTATCTAGAGCTCTTCAATCTTTGTACCAACAGCGGCTTTCATTGTGCAAGTAAATAGCAAGAAAGAAGAAAAAAAAAAACACAAACAAAAAAAAAAACCACAAAAAAAGGTGTATAAACCCTTGTGTCTGGCCTAAGAGAATTACAAGATGACATTTTTATTTCTCTTTTAATAAAGAGACACATTAGAAAATGGTTTTATTTTAAATATTGTAGAATCAAAATGTGTGAATATTTCTCAAACTTGAATAATTTATGCAAATGACATTCTCAAAACAAGTTGTGGTACAGTACAATATATAAAAAGCAAGAATTGCTGTAGCAATAAGGCATGTCCTTTTTAGTAACTATAACACTGCTTTATATTTTATACATAGGTGTTTTATGTCTGTGACTATATACTTTTCCTGTGTCCAAGATAACCTGTACAAATGTCTAAAATTACAGTTGCAATAACAGAAACCTAGAGAAGTGTTAGACTATATTACTTTACAGAGTGTTTTACCACACTTCAGACCATTTCCCCCACTTCATTTTAAATTTAGGGAGAGATTAAGAGCTAACACACCTTGGCATACAGATCAGCAGGTTTGATTAACTTTTTACTATAAGTATCGTTATTAGTTCTAAGCCCCAGTGAGTCATCTTTTTAAATTCAGAATACAAATTGAGAACTTGTTCCTATTTGATTGTAAACAATCCTATTTTAGATACTATAATATGACCATTTTCTCTTCCCAGGCATGTGTAGACTTAGGTATCTGTATGGTCAATTTAGCCATCAGATATTTCCCAGAAAGTGAAATGCTGGGTGGAATAAGGTAGTAATGAAAAAAATTCCCAAATGCAAAGACTCTCTCACTTCCCCTGCCAAAGCAAGTAACAGAGCAAATAACAAAAGCTAGTCTTTCGTTTATAAACAACCCCCAGCCCAGGAGTTCAGGTCAGAGCTCCCAGGCTCTGCAGGAATGTCAGCAAGAAATCTGGTCCTGGTATGAAACACTCCCTCTGGTTTTTCTGGGGCAGGTGGGGAGAAGCAGTAGGTTTGTCACCTCTTCCCTCACAGGCAGCGCGAGAAGGTGCTGAACACAGATTTTACCTTCTCCCTGTTGGCATCTTGGTGGGGACCAGTGGCCCAGCAGGGCAGTAAGTTAACAGAGCTTGGTGGCCCTGCAGGGATCCAACACAAAGCGTATTCCTATCCCTGTCTGTCCCTAGAATGAGGGCCAAGGCATAGGATAATGTTACTGCAGCTGTATTTGACCTTCCTTCTTGCAGAAGATCAGCAACTGGAGGGCCCCTCACCACACAGATCTCTGGGATGCAATAGGGCCCTCATTTTTTTTAAGCTCATCATAGCACATCTTTTAAAAAGAACAACAGCTTGAGGTGTCACCCTAATTGGTTTTTTTTTAAGCAGGTTTCAAGTGTGTATCAGCAAACTGGATCCAGAAGCTTCTTCCCATTGTTGTCTGGAAGATAACTGCAAATTGTAGTCAGCTAACAATGTAATGTATCAGGAACTGGAAGCTTTCTTGTCCCAAACCACAACCCTTTAACATAGGACATGCTAACAAGGTTACAGAACTCTGCATCTCTCAGTGCGGATGTATCTAGTTTCTGCCTGACCCTGACAAACAGACATCTGATGTGAGAAGGGCCATGCAGCAATAAAAACAGAGAAACCTTTCCAGTTTGCAGGACTGAGCCTCCACCAGGGTAAGACACTAGTGCAGATGAGTGATGAGGCTATATGATTTACATAATGTACAGTTACACTTTTAATATACATATTTGATACAAAAATATAGCAGGAAAAGGACTCATTTGATTGTAGAATACAGTATTTTTGTACAGCATGAACCGTTCATTTCATTTAATTATTTATCCTGTAGTAGTCATATCAGCTGTATAGGACTTCTATGGTATGTGTAAATGCAACCTGCCTTCAGACTAGCAATCAAATTAGGTCATTTGCTGGCATGAATATAGTCTGATGTTTGACTGTTCTCAGCTTTGGTATTTCAGTGACTGAATGCAGATGTCTGGCTCTTCATACTGCTTTATGCTTATTGATTAAATGCTGAGCAAAATAAAATGGTGGAGTGAGAAGCTGAAAATGAGCTAGTATCAGGATTACAAGCAGAGCACCTGCTGCACAGTATATAGTAAAGACTCTGCTCTCATATGGAAGGAAGCATTTCTGGAGGGAGAAGTCAGTTGGTGTTATGCTGCCCTGGAAAAGAAATGAAGACTGTCACTTTGCTGTTACAGTTGGTTTTGAATCAGGAGTAAACACTACAACTGTCAGAGCTCCAGATTCTAACCTCTGTCTTGGGTGGCAATGGTTGGGGCCAGTTTCCTAGTACCAGTGCCTTCTCCAGGGGGCTGAAGAGTCCATACCTTTTGGTGCTGGACACTAACTGGAATATACATCAGGCCAACATTAGCCCAGAGGCCAATCTTCTCTATCTATATTCCATCTAGCACAGAGAGCTGGGTTCCTCATCTGATCTGCCTTCAAGAGAAGCCTTTACTTTAGCTGCTGTAAATCCACCTGGAAGGAGCCTTCCCAGGCTAAAGTTAGGGTTGATGAATGTGCCCCTTCCTCCCCCCACACCTTCCTCCTACCCAGTACATGCTGCAAAAAGCACGTTGGCTAATCCAAATACCAAACAAAGAACTTCATTGGGTTTTTGGCTTGACTTCACAGTTCAAATTAAAGTTTGTACCAGGCTGAGGAGGAGTTACAGCAGTCCTGACAGTGATGCCACTCTAATTAGCCAAGCTCTTGTGTTGCAGTGAAGATGCACTGCCTGGCATGTGCGGAGAGCATGTGTAGTTTGAAGGCAGCTACTCTCAGGAATATGATATAAACAGAACTACTTTCAACAAAAAATAGTAACAGTAATAGTTGCATTAAGTTATTTTAAAAGTTGGGGGTTATCAGTGTATTAAGCAGCCTAAACTCAACAGCAGTAAAAATACATGAAAGATTTGTCCCCCAGGTCACAGACTTCTCCATAAACAGATTGTAGTTTTTGCTTCTTACTCCAAGTTTCTAGAAGTTCTGTTTTATTTCTGAACTGGGGAATGAACTGATGTACCTCTAAGGCTCTACTGAGCACTGGAACTGCATGTGAGAGCATAACCAACACCATGCTGTATAAAATGTGGATTGGGCAGACTGGTGGCATGGGACAAACGTTTTCACTTTGTGAAGTGGTTAACGCACAAGTTTAAAAACCACCATCACCAGGCAAGAGAGTCTGAGGTGGATATGGTCTTGTTTTCCTAGCCTGTAAATTAAGAAAGCCAAACTAGTCTTTCTACTGGTTCGGTGCACAATACTGATTACAAGTCACTAGTTTACAATGCACCCCTTTGTAAGAAAATGTTAAGACGCTTGTACCCAGACACTAGTTAGATCTTTAAGAGCATTGCTTTGTACTGCAGGGAACACGTGGCTCCCACAGATGTACTTCATAAAGTGCATGCAGTGAACTGAGGGGGTTGGGTGGGTAGGCCATTGGTTTTTATTTTTTGTTTTTACAGGTAGAATCAGTTTTAAAATGCAGCTGACTGCCATGTTGATTTATTTATGAAAGTTATCTGACAAAAATTAAAAAAAAAAAAGAGGAAAAAAAATTAAAACTTACCATGATGAAACTAGGGTTGTTTCTGTTCCTCCAACTGAACGATGGGACGCTGATTTCTGGGCTTTTCCCCGCGTGCAGCACTTCACAAGCACTGTGTGTGTGCCCACTGAGAATCAGGCGGGGGTGGAACCACCATATCAGCTACAAGATGGTAAAGCACAAAAATTAAGTCATAACTAAAAAGAAATTGAGCCTAAGACCCTTTTTGTTTTTCTTCTGACAGAATGAAATTCTGGGAGTTTTCATATTCTCGCAAAGTGTTTTGTGTCAACTTCTGTTACCCAATAAGACAGGTTTTGATACTGTGATATTAATCATACCCATTTGGCCCTCATCCTGAAAGCTGAATTTTTTTTTGCTATACAGATGATAAAAACAAAGGCCATAGCATGCTGGTGACATCTCAAATAGAAGAATCTTGGATTTAGTAAAGCAATGCTGGTTTCTTGTCCAAGGGAGAAACTTGTTCTGCCAATCTCAATTGAAGACATTTATGAACATGGAAACAAATACTGCCCAGTAGATTTTGTGGGAATAGTTTTCTTGTAGCTACTACTTCAGCAAAAGCAGTGCTTTCAAAGTATTGGGAAACAGTGGCTTTCTACTACATTTGTCAATAACCTACACAATACATAAGGTAGAAAATGTGAAACAGGAGGTAACAGCATTGCAGTGAACTTAAGAGCACTGGGACTCATGGTCTGAACCTAGCCCAGCAGAATCAAGGCCATGATGGGGATGATCTTCAGAGAAGCAGCTCTAACAAGCAGCCTCTCAAAGGCCTCATTAAAGCAGAAGCAGCTGCGCTCTGTTTGTCTCCACCAACATCCTTTCCAAAAATTTTTAATCTATATATAGCTACACTTATACCCCCCCTCTCACCCACCCACCCACCCACCTATAGTCAAGTTCCTAATATAGCAAACCTTTTGTGATGCTTCCTGAGACAGTACATCATACTTTTCTTTAAATGGGATGTTCTTCTGCTCTGGAGGAGCAGAATCTTCTCCGCTGCATTCAGCATCGCTTTTCCGATAGAGAGGGTAATGCTGGGAGAGGAGACAGCAAGGATCCCTTGTTAATGATCCAGCCTTTCTGAAACAGTAACAAATGCACTAAAAACATCAACATGTTGCCTCACCCCACCTCTAACACACCTGTAAAAGGATGGGTTCTGAAGCTGGAAGCTTTTCCACACCACTGCATCTTTTGTTGGAATGATTCGGTTTCTGTGAATAAAATCAATCCATACTTACTGTCTTCACCTATGGGCACCATAGGGGTGGGGAAGGGAATTAAACAATATTCAGGTTTTATGGGGCTGGGGGGTTTTTTGTTGGTTTGGGTTGGGTTTTCTTTGCAAAAAGCAGTATCAGTTCAGAGTACGGTGTTTAAATACTGTCCACTGTGTAAACAAAATTTTAAGAGCCTCTGCTGTGGATGGATGGAGAAATGCCTTCATTTCCCTCTCTGCACATGCTGGAAATACAGCTGCACTCTTCCTGAACACAGTAAGCAACTGCAGAATTTCACTGCAGAAACAAGGCAAAAGAGATTTAGGGCAGCCCAGAAGAGACAGCAGTTAAGAGTCTAGCAATTTTTCCACTGGGAGCTGGTTTCCTGATTGACTGCCAGCCCAGTCAATCATGCTGCCTACCCTGAGTCCAGTCAGTCTATGAAAAAAAGAGGAACGAAACACAAGCAGCAATTGGATTTGATGAAAAAATACTACAATTAAGACAATACTAGGCTATCAAGATAGGACTCCAATAAAAACAGAAAACTAAAAGAACAGGCTAGCTTGAAGGATATAAAGCACAACAGTAAGCATACATATAAAGGCAGGGATTATTACTATCTGAAGTCAAAAGGAGGGTAACAGAATTGCAATTCCTTGGAACAGAGGAAATGACACCCTCTGTTGGCAGCACTGACAAGGAAGTTAACACCACTAACACACAGACACAGTTCATAGTTAAGTAAAAGTGATAAAGAGGCAAATGAGGAGAAGAAAGATTTGCTAACAAGTTGCAGTGTGAATTGGAAGCAGATTTTTTTCAGCAGAGCATTAGTTACAGCCCGACTATCGCTGCCGTGCCAGTATTCCCACTGCAGCAGCCAAATGCCTATAATCAGATCTTTACTAAACCCTTACCTGCTGGGAGCAATTCAGTTTGTGAGAGAGAGCCACAAGCTTGGCTTCTGAGGAGCTGCAGACAGCACAGCCATCACCCTCCATGGCCACGCTGTTCACCACGACAAAGCTGGAAATTGCCAGGGAGCAGGCAAAGATTAAAAAAAAAAGTGGGGAGGACGGGAGAGCATTTGCTCTTCATGCACATCTGGGATAAACTTTTTTTTTACAAAATGCAACTGTTTCAAAGTTGGACACAGCTCAACAAAACAGCAGAATGTAACCGCTTCCACACTCAGGTGCTGTAAATCCTCCTTTGAGTATCCACACTGTAACTGTTTCGTAACCTGGCAGGCTGCTTTGTAATGAGTTGCTCACTAGGTTGCACACTCTACTCTTAGGTTATGTTTCATGTTTACACTTCAAGATATTTTATTTTTTTTTACATTATAACATACTGAAGAGGTATTCCAGTGGAATGTTTTAAGGCATCATTTTAGACATTTGATTTCTTCAGAACAAGTGAAAAGCAAAATGGCACTGCATGTGGCTGCCTACCCTGAACCAACCTGGTTTCACACTTTGTGGACTCTCACACAGAAAACAGAATTTTATTTGTAATAGAAGATTTCCCTGTAGATCTCAAATCGGCTTTGAACTTCTGCCACAAGATTCATACCTTGTTTAGTCACTTAGTCAGGAAGCAAGAGATGCATTCCCAGTTCAATTCAGTATTTTTTTTTACAGGCATAAATGATCTGAATGTCTCCACTTAAGAGAGAAACGGGTCAAAACAAGAACAAAAAAATAATTATCTTTTATCAAATCGAGCTGCTTTTATACCATAGATTTGTTACAAAATAGTTTATCTGGGAACATTTTCTTAATAATGCAGCTTGTTTTGGTTAATGAACATGATACTAGACATACAGGCTGAAGCTGCATGCAAGAATTGTGCTGTGCTGTTTTATCAAAGGGGATGTGGAGATATCCTTAATAACTGTTTTAAAACAGATGAAACACATACCTGGAGGACCACACATTTGCATGATAAAAAATAGCATTACACTGAACATTGATGAAGCTGATGTATCTTCCTAAAAAAGGCACATAACTTCTAGACCTGTTCAGAATATTTTAATGTTTGCTTAATTAAGGGAATCAATGTTAATCTGTGCATTTTGAAATGTACATTTGCATGAGTTCCTGACATGCCAAATGCAAGGTGGCAATAGGTCCTCCCCTCATGTGCCTGAGGTTTAAAGACAAACGCCTTTCTACACACCCACTGTCGCTCTCCCTCATCAGGTTCCTGCGTGCTTTCTCCAAGTGACAACCAGGGCACACGGCAGAGGACTGCAGCCACAGACACACAACCAGGAGAACAAGCTCTTGAACAAGGTCTGCTCTAAGGCAAACCAGATTCTGCGTTATTACTCCACCCTGTGGAAAAACTGTGGACAAGCAACTGCCGTGTTCCCAAACTCCTCAAACAAGAGTTAAGCTCTGCAGACTACAGATGTTATTAAAATTCATGAAACTCTTAACTTGTAAGCACAGAGGAGGTTTGTTTGCATTTCTTTACTGAATCCTATTCTTCTGTTCTGTTTACAGCCATGGGTCATTACCAGCTGCAAGGAAGTAAAACAGCAAACCAGAGAATTTGATTCTCGCTCCACAGTACTTTTCCATTCAAAAGGAAATCGTTACAATTTACCTAGCTCTAAGCACAGCTTCCAGTCCATATCAAACGACAAGCTGTACAATGTGTTTCCTGTTTAGCATAAGTTGATACAAAGTAAAAAAAAAAAAAAAGCTCTAAGCATTCAGCATTCCCATATTATTTCATTAGAAATTCCAGTTCTCAGTTCTCAGCACTCTGCTCGCTCAGTAATCACTACTTTATATATTGGGGTGGGAAATATATATACTCACTTTATTCCTCTTCGAGTTATTAGCTTTCCTGAAGTAAAGTTGAAAACCTTCTCAAACCGATTTACCTTGTAAGCAGTCATCCTGTGTCACAGAGAAAAATACAGCTGAGGTGAGAAACTGGCACTGTAAATCATGTGACACAGTTGCTTGACAGTCTGCAGACCATTCGTGCAGCTCACTGCTCCATTATCCGGAGCACAGACTCACTGGCACTGCACTCCTTCCAGTGACAAGACTTACTCATAATGAAATCCAATGTCATGATTCCCAACAATCACCACCAGCTCAGTAGAAACTGGATATTTAAACATCTTCTGAAATCTCCTGACATCATCTGCCCATGCCTGCATGAAAAAAATAAAGGGAGAAATGAAGGCTGTTCAACAGTATTGAAGGGGGCCACCAGTATAGAATACAAAAGCACACACTCAGTGAAATGTTTACATTTTATAGGTATGTTATGACAGGGGGAGTGCCAAGATGCTACCAAAACCAAAAGATAATCACACTTCAACTCCTAGCTAAAACACCAGAAATTCTACCAGTAGGACAACTACAGTAGTATCAAACAAAGCCTTGCATACCTAGTCTGCTTTCTTCTGCCATGCATTTCCTTCAAGAAATCCTCACTTTTTTTAGTAAGGGAGCTGTTGATGTCATACCTGAGGTAAGCTCCATTTTCCTTCATCAAAGACATCTCCCAGAATAAAAACAATATCTGGCTGCAGTAACCATAAGGCAGTTTGGAAAGATCTCTCCATTTGCCATTCCCTGAAAGGAAAATGCATACCCAGCCATCACTGCCTGACTTCTGGATCTTCAACTCTGAAAACACAAACACAGCCTGGCAGGCACAGGAAGATGGCACCTATACACTGAAGCACAACTATGAAATTCAAATTAAATACTCAGAAATCAGGTATAAGCACAGTAGATGCATCTTACCTGGTGGGTATTTATACATCAATACAATCATGACCAACTCTGTCAAGAAGTAATACCAGGGGTTTGTTGTGTTTTTTTTTCATTAAACAGCAATTAATTAGAACAGTGAATAATCATTCACTGCACATTTTACTATGCTATTGTTTCTGCAGAAAAACTTGTAATGTTCATTTCGTGGTAGAATTCATACTTCCAGAATTTTGCTTCTTTTCGGGGTTTGTTTTTCTGGGGGTTTTTTTGGACTAACAGAAACAACATGGCTTCGTAGCCACAAGATTGGATTATCTTTGTGTTTAAATGTGATTTATTATCTAGGGCAGATCCAGACAGGCAAATCAGAGGCAGTATACACACTTCTTACAATTACAATATTGGTTTTAAACATCTGAGGGTGGTGAGACACAGGGAAGTTGTCAAAGCCCCATCCCTGGAAGTGTTCAAGGGCAGGTTGGATGGGGCTGTGGCAACCTGATATAGTGGGAGATGTCCCTGCCCGTGGCAAGGGGGGTTGGAACTAGATGATCTTTAAGGTCCCTTCCAACTCAAACCATTCTATGATTCTGTGATGTTTCATTAGCTAATACTAATGACTCTAAAACCAGGATAGAGATTATCCAAAAAATGAATTGTTACCTTCTTAGTTTATCCAGCCAATGTCCTTTGATTTCACCAAGTAGGTGAGTATCAGCTAAAATCATGGCCTTTAGGACTGAAGTTGAAGTCTCTTTTTCATCCATGTGAGCTCCACCTTTCACTTCTGGCCATTGACATTGAAAAATTACCACATAATAAATTAAAAATTCACAAAATACTAACACTGAGCTTTCAAAACATACAAGTTTCAGCAGAAAAAAAAAAACAGAGCCTCTTTTTCAAAGGAAGGCTCTTCACAGTGGTCAAGCTAGAACTCAGCATTGCAGCATCAGCATAAGTCTCTTTTCCCGTGGTTCAGTTCTGTCTCAGGTTAAGGTGGTGGGGGCTGGTCAAAGGGCCACATTGGGCTTCTTAACAGTACAAAAATCCCTGCAGAGAAAACACAAAATTAAATATTCATTAATCCAACATTCTCTTTTAAGATCTACCAGGTAAGGCCTATAGTGTTAATTTCTTGTCACCCTGAAAGATTTGGAAATATGTAACTGATCTAAAAAACAAAGATGGTCTTTTCCTTCAGCTACACTTCTATAACCCACACAGGCAGCCGTGCTGCTGAGCCTAGAATGGTGCTTTCTCTTTCCAGGACCAAGACAACTAGAATGGTTAAGGTTGGAAGGCACATGAAAGATCATCAGGTTTCAACCTACCTGACCTGAGCAGGGACACCTCACCCTAGACTAGGCTGCACAAAACCTCATCCAACCTGGCCTTAAACACCTCCAGGGAGGAGTCTTCCACAACCTCCCTAGACAACCTATTCCAGCACTTTACTACCCTCATGATGAAGAATTCCTTCCTGATGGCTAACATAAATCTACCCTCTTTCAGTTTAAAACTATTGCTTATTGTCCTATCACTGCCCTCTTTGGTGAAAGAACCCTCCCCAGCTTTCCTGTATCCCCCTGAGGCACTGGAAGGCTGCTATAAGGTCTCCCCGGAGTCTTCTCCTCTCCAGGCTGAACAGCCCCAACTCTCTCAGCCTTTCTTCATAGCAGAGGTGCTCCAGGCCTTTGATCATCTTCCCTAGCCCTTCTCTGGACCCTTTTCAACAGCTTCATGTCTTTCCTGTACTGAGGGCTCCAGAGCTGCAAAAAGTACTCCAGGTGTGGCCTCACCAGAGCAGAGTAGAGGGGCAGAATCACGTCCCTGGCCCTGCTGGCCACACTTCTTTTGATGCAGCCCAGGATGCAGTTGCTCTCTGGGCTCCAGCGCACACTGGCGGCTCATTATGCTGAGCTTCTCATCTACTACCACCCCTAAGTCCTTCTCCTCAGGGCTGCTCTCCCGCCATTCTTCCCCCAGCTCGTATTTTTGCCTGGGGTTGCACCAACCCAGGTGCAGGACCCTGCACTTGGCCTTGTTGAACTTCATGAGGTTGGCACTGGCCCACCTCTCCAGCCTGTCAAGGTCCCTCTGGATGGTGTCCCTTCCCTCTAGGGTGCCAACCACACCACACAGCTTGGTATCGTCATCAAACTTGCTGAGGACACACTCAGTCCCACTATCCATGTCTCCAACAAAATGCTGAACAGCACTGCTCCCTGTACTGACCCCTGAGGAACGCCGCTTGTCATTTGTTTCCACTTGGACACTGGACCATTGACCACAACTCTCTGGGTGCATCCGTCCAGCCAATTACTTATCCACTGAGTGGCCATCTGTCAAATCCACATCTTGTCAGTTTGGAGACCTAGATGCCACGTGGGACAGAGACAAATTCCTTGCACAAAACCAGGTAGATGACATCAGTTGCTCTGCCACCATCCACCATCTCTCCAGCCTTGTCATAGAAGGCCAGCAGATCAGTCAGGCATGATTTGCCCTCAGTGAAGCCATATTGGCTGTCACCATTCACCTCCTCATTTTCATGTCCTTCAGCAGATTTTCCAGGAGGATCTGTTCCATGATCTTACCAGGCACAGAGGTGAGCCTGACGGGCCTGTAGTTTCCTAGGTCTTCCTTTTTCCCCTTTTTGAAAACAGGCTATGTGATCTTTTTTCCAATTGGCAAGATCCTCACCAGATCACAATGACCTCTCAAAGATGATGGACAGAGGCTTAGCAACTGCATCCGCCAGCTCTCTCAGGACCTGTGGATGGACCCCATCAGGTCCCACACATGTGTGCACCTTCAGGTTCTTTAGATGGTCACAAACCTGGTCTTTTCCTACAGTGGGGGGTGCTTCTTTTTCCCAGCCCCTGCTTTCACCTTCTGTAGCCTTTGTGATGAGGCTGGAGCACTTGCCAGAGCAGACTGATGCAAGAACTCAATGAGAACCATCAGCCTTCTCAATATGCTGCATAGCTAGGTCACAATTTTTTTAAGACTATATTTCAAGTCACCCTGGCGGGGCATCGGGAAACTTTTTCAGTTAGCAATAATCACTTCTGGGATTAACCTCACTGGCTACAATACTGCTATTGCACAAAACTAGTTTAAAGCCAGCAAGGATCTTGTTGTATGCTATGGTTTCGGGGGGTTTTTTTAACCATACAGTAAAAAACACTGTGAGTAGAGGTCAAAGATACGTAAAGACAAAGCTTAGCTGAAAAAAAACAAAACAAAAAGAGGAATAGAAGGGAATTCCACTACGATCCATATCATCCTGATCACTGCAATGCCAATTGCAACCATTTTCTGGCACAAGTCACATAACAAGGCAACACCAAATCAGTGCAATGATCAGCTTTAATACAGTACATTGTAATAATTTCCAAGAACCAAAAGCAATTTACTATGCCAAAACAACTTTGCTGAAGTTTTCCAGGAACATAGGCACAAATACATGACTAGTTAGCTAACGCTGCTTCATTTCTACCAAGGGAAAACAGAGAAACATCAAAGCCTCAGAAACAGAAACTGCTCTATAGGCTGAAGAGAAATGTGGGAAATGAGCCTAAGCTGATAAACTTGCTGTTATTTACTGACTTCTTCCACCTTGAACAGTTTGTAACCCAAACAGGGAACTTCCCAGTTTTGAAACTACTGTTTTATTTTATACCATTTTAAAGGCTAGTCCCAAGCAAATGTCTTCACCTGATAGCAACAATTGTAAAAGGGCTCACTGATAGTTTCACTTGTTTACAGGCATTTAACAAACTCTTTATTCCTGGAGTCCAGTTCTGTTACTTCCGCAGTCCTTGGCAGAAATACTTTTCCAGTGCTAGTGCCCACAAGAAACAAGTATCCCATCTGAGAGGACAGGGATACAAGCCTTACTTTCAAGGAAAGTCACTCTGGTTCCACATGCAACCTCCCAGGGTTTAAGACTGCAGAGTACTGCACATCTCTTCAGTGGGAAAGACCCTTTTTAAAAAAAAGTAAACATGCTGCATGGTCACAGTAAAAGGGACTGAAGGAGAGCCATAGCTCATGAACATGCTTATGAACAAACTTCTAGAGAAATCCACCAAGAAAATCACGTCCCTACATGCGAACAGGATTGCAGTTTTGCTTTTAATATACGTCTAATATTCAGGATGTTAGCAATGACAAAACACAGCACTCAGTGACTGGCAGCCAATGTTCACATGCCCTGACTAATTCTGACTAGAACTATACATACCAGCACTTCTGTATATTTAGACCCTAAACACTAAGAACACTAGGAGAAAATTATAGAAGCACACAAAGTTAGTAGAGCTCTTCTCAAATCGTGGTCTCAAGTTACATGCAGAACACAGAACAAAACTCAGACTGCTTTACCCTTATGCCCCAGCCCATTTGATAGATGTCTCACAGAAATCAAAAACTGACATGTTATTATCTTATTTTTCAAATCAAAGCCTCTAATTATAATAAGAGAGGATATTAACCCACTTATTTTCAAACATGAGCTTCCCATATCATCACTACAAAGTAGTTATTCAAGACAAAGAAGCATTAATCTGCATCATGTAACATTTCCAATATGCATTATTTAACATTAGCATGACTAATATTTAATTGCATGCAATTCAGTTCTAGCTAAACTTCGTTTAGCAGAAGAAAGCCACTGGCCAGACATCACAATTTCACAATAAAGAGGAACTACACACAAAGGCTGATTAATTTGTTTAATATTAATCTCATCTGCACTTTAGCTATAAAAATCAACAAGATCTTGCTTGTACATCTCACAGCAAAGCAAGTTTAAAGCAGAAATGTCTGTTCAACAGACACAGCAACAAGGACAAAAGACAGGTAAATTCTTAACTAAGCACACAGATTCATATGGTCTTATCCTGCACAAACTGCACCTACCCCAGAATTTTGAAGTAGACTTTGGTAGTCCTAGATAGTCCCCTCTTCCAACAAAAATAGTACTAATTTGAACAGAAAATGCTAGGAAGTAACTTAACTTGCACTAGGCACGTAAAAAAAAAAATAATCTATAAAACAACAAAAAAAAAACCATGACTCTTCCTACTCACAACCTACTCAAAGCTTACAACAAAACAACTCATTTTGCTGTAATATCTATGCATTCTCTGGAAGATCTTCCTTACATTACTTTTCACACATCACATTTCTTCATGAGCTGTCTGAACAGCTAAAGAGCTGCAGCAAAAAGCCAGTGTCACAGATCAGTGAGGGGAAAAATAAAAATCAGATCTTCAGAAGCAAAATGATCCCATCAAATGAAAAAAAAAAAAAATCAAAGCCTACAATTAGCAGAAAATAAAAATATCTTCAAGGCAAAACTGCCATTTTCAAAAGACACAAGCAGCAACTGACACAATCAAAACCACAGAGCCTGTCATTTCTACACACATTCCCTGTC